TTTTGACTGTGGCCACTAGAGGAGTTTTAAACACCTAACAAAACTACCTTGTTCACAGATTAGAGTTGCCTTTTCAGTATGTATCTTGCAAAAAACAGAAAAGTGAGGTAAGTAGCTACCTACCTCCAAAATGGTTTCTGGATAAATGAGGAAGTTTATCCATGTAAATGATCAAGATGGGCATAAAAGCCATTCTCAAGCACAATTTATTTGCAGTCATTCAGAACCTAGCTAATAAGTACAAATCTAAATTACAGAGTATAAAGGCTATAAACTATCCTGAAAAACAAGCATTAGGCAAGAGTTAAGGAAAGATGTGCAGAAAAATTAAGGTAGAATGAAGTCTTTAGAAGTACCTCTTCAGCCTGGGTCAGATTATTTTTCTCTCAAAGCGCCACCTTGTGGAATTTTCTAGAATAAAACAAGCAAACAACCAAGCACTTAGGGCTATGAATTTTAAACAGAATTTTGCAAGAAAACTTCCATTGCTTCCCTATTAATTTTAAGTTTCTGTAACAGTATTTCAGTAGATGCTTGAGGAAAATCCTGTATTTATTTTCAGGTGGTCCCCGTTTTCCTCTTGAAGGCCAGAGCACCAGAATCAAGGAAATGCAAATATCCTAACAGGAGTCCATTCATTATGCTAAATGAATTCCCTGGAGTATACGAGCAGAAAATATTTGAGAAGGCATTTGGTATTTCATTTAAAAAGCCCAGAAAAAAAAGAAAAGAAACATTTAAAAATGGATCCTTTCTGTTTCTACAGTTCTTTTGTTTACAGAGGTCAGAAGATGAAGGGCTGATATTGTTTTGGCTTATTTCCTAAAAGAGGACAAAAAAGTTGAGATGCTTGAGACATAAAGTATGTATACCTGTGTTAGAAAATTGAGTTGAAAAGTATATGATATGAAAGGAAGCCTCTCAGGGGTTTGAGGGAACACCAGAAATCACTTAGGCTTGTCAGGCTTTGGTAAACTCAAGTTTTTCCACTGTGAAGATGACAAAGGATTTTGGGGTAAGGTTTATAATTCTTCTAAAGTCCAGCTGTCATAGGAAACACATGCCTTTTAAAAACTTGTTTTTTTAAAACAGTGAATAATCTTAGGCATATATAGTTAAGTGTGGTTGTTTCTTCCTCTGAAAGGACAAATACGAATGTGTGGGTTTGTGCAGCCAATCTTGAAAATGATTTATCTGTGCTTGGGATAGCTTCTCTATAAAATTTGTGGGTTCTTTTGGATAAATTTGTAGTTGTCAGGTGACATTAATAAAAATTCTCAGTGATGTATGTAAGCAAAAATGTATCTTTCAAACTATATGCAACACTGAAATTATCCTCTGAATATCTCCATTGTCAAGAATTAACTCCATTCTCCACTGATTTATAAATAATTTTTAAAGATTTAGAAGACTTTTATTTTTATGTCACAAGTAAATAATGCATTCTTTTGAGTACTACCAATATCACTAACACAAGTAATTATGGGAGGATGTTAACTTTTAACATTATTCTCCCCTGGAATCAACTATGTAACAAAAGCATGTGTTTGGAATATAAAATGTAAGCCACTCTTACATGCTTATCATAAAAAGTAAGAAAAAGTCACTTAAAAGCAATTCTTTGGACAGAGGATATTCAGGATGTCTTTATGATAGTAGTAAGTTTACATGATTTAATTTCCATATTGGAATGAGAATTGTCATTAATGACTTTAAAAGACACCACTTTAAAAAGAAGCAACTATGACTATTTAAAAATCAACTCACATATGTAATTTAAAGTTCAAAACTGCCTGGTACTTTGGTTTTCTCAACAAGACGGATTGTACCACAGTTTAGAGTCAAACTATATATTTATTAGGAGGATTTTTTAAAAAGTTATCCACATCCTGTGCATTCTGAAATTTTCACTTGTATTTAGAATCTGCTGAGATTCTATTCTTAGGTAATTTTTAACTATTTTTAGTAAGTCACCTGGGGCTAAATGAAATGTCTGCCATTCACAGTGTGTACTTCCTGAGAGAAAAATGGGGGGGAGGCGGGGGGGGGGGGGGGGGGGGCGGGGAGATGAAATGGCTCCAAGCTAATCCAAACAAGTTCTTTGTTCTTGGAGATCTCATCCTCTTCTAAAAGGGACAAGTGGGAGACTCTGACCCATTGGGTTTCTTACAAGCTCTCAGGAATTGTGTTTTAAAGGTTAGGCCATTATTACTGTTTACCATGCAAATAGCTTATGATAACTTAATGGATACGTTTCTCTGTCTCTTTTTATACAATGGCTGTAACTACTTCACTTTTCACAATGCCAGGGTGTCCTGAGTTGAGCCCCGGAACTAGTGTGCTATCAGGAACATTCCTGCACACTAGCCCTAGCTTAATTTTGGATTACTTGCAATGATTTTACTTGCTATACGTTACTTCAGTAGAACATGGGGGCAATGTGGCCTTTTCAATCCACCATTGCCTAGCTGTTGACAAAGATGGTTGAAAGCTATGTCCCAGAAAAATAAGTCCCATTTCCAAAGCTATTATTCTCCTCTATGCTTCTAGATGCTGTTCACTACAGGAGTCCTCATAGCCATGCTGCTTGCATGGGATCTGGCTTTCAGAAGTGGTAAGGCTATGTGGAAAGATGTACAGCTAGACAGTAACTGTTCAAGCACAACTGGGAAGAAATGTTTGCGCAGGTCAGAGAGGTTGCAATGTTCTTGCATTTTGGGCCTTTGAAGTATCTAATGCCAAAACGTGCTCTCATTTTTCTTTATAAACCCTACTTAGAAATAAGCCCAAAGCAGAGGAGAGGAATAAAAATTGGGCTACTTGCTTAAAATGTGAAAGAATGCTGAAATTTCCAGTTCAGAAAAGCTGTATTCTTCTGAGCAAAGATATGAAAATATTTTTGCAAAAGCAAATGAGAACTCAAAAGTTGTTCATTTTAACATGTGCATTGCTAATCAAAAGATCATGATAAATCAGTGCAGTGAGTTTTTAAATTCAATTTCTAGGCCCCAGCAAAAATGTCTTTGTATTTTGACTCTTGATCAAAGGAAAGGAAAGGCTGAACTGTTTTTCCTGGGGAGGCACGGAGAATGCCTTGTCTTAGATGCTCCTGAGTCATCATCTTAATCATTTAGTGTTGATGGCACACTAGTGCTGTCACATGAAGGAAGTATAAAACACTGTTAAGGCCCTTCTTTTTAAGTCTTACTTAAAAAAATCCTTTTCTTCTATTGTATTAGAACAATGTTAAAAAGCATATTTAAAAAAAAAAAAAGGTTCCTAATCTCAAAAGCTCTCAAGGAAAGACATTTCCTATTTTTTCCACTCTATTCAAGATAGTCATATGCAATATGAAGCTGTGATAAATTCTGTAAGGCTTGAGAATACATAAACATGATCTGAAACATTTTCTGCTGGTTGAAGCAAAGGCCATTCTTTGAAAGTTCTAAGTCTAAACATGATGTAGCTTTTTCCTGCATACACTTAAAATACTATTCAGAAAAAGCACAGGCAGCTAAAGTTGCCAAAATACACTTTTTGTGTCTTCTTCTTACTAGTGCCAGCTCAGCACTAAGGTCAGTATAAGGCAGAAAGGTGGTATGATATAAAAGGCTGAAAACAGCAAGAGAAGAGATCCTAGAAGAATGCCCAGGCTGGCTCTGCAGCGAGCAGGAATGAGCACAAGGCACTAGAAACACACACAGCTTTAAGATCAGAGGAAGGGATGGAGAAAAGATCATTTTAGAGAGTAAATAGCTATTGCTAAAAAGAGTAAAAAATAATTCCCTCAGATACTATGCTGACAATATATACTTTAACAATGTAAAACACTAACAGTTTCGAGCAATCTGTGTTGGTGACAGAGCAGAACAAGTATCCTACCCATCGCCTAGGTAACATAAGTGAATGCCAGGTGGGAAGATTGCATGAAGAGTGAGAACAGATGGAACCCTGTTAAGATTGCAGAACTGGGGCTGTAAACCACAATGTGAAATTGCCTATTTATGAAAGGCCCAAGGAAAGAAAATGAGCAAGCAGGTGGGGCACATATATAAGGGGTAGAAATATATATGAGAGATGCTGAGAGAAGGATAAGGTGGACACTTCATAAACAAGGCTGTGTGTGGTATAAGGGTACAGATTTAAATGTCATTACATTACTACTTAAAGAACTAGCTTAGCAAATTGCTAAAACAAAAAAATAACAACAACAAAGGAAATAATGACATTTCAACCCAGAAAATAAAGGCTTTCCCTACTTTTTTTTTTTTAAAAAAAATGTATTTGAGGTATATTCCCTAAATCTATAGCAAGTAACACAAAGCTTATAAGGTTATTTTCCAAAAGAACCAATAAAGTATGATACTATATAGAAGGACTTACAACGAGTAAACTCAGCTTTAGAAGAGTAAATAAGAATGCATGCTTTTAAAAAACAGGTGTCCTAAAAGGTATTAGATATTTTTTTATTTCTTTTTTTTTCCTTTCGATTTGTGCCTAGAACTTTATCTTTTTTTTTCTCTGCTAGCAAAAGCTTTTGGCCAGAAAAGAAATGCCGAGGACTTAGGCTCAACTAATTTGAGAAGATTGCTCTGGCAAATCACCTTCCGTGAACAAGCACACGTTACTCACCAGTCACCTGGAATCTTCGAAACTCAATTATTCTCGTTGTTTACAGAAAGTAACACTTTAAGAGATTGCAAAAATCTCTCTCCTTTCTCTCCCTCCCTCTCTCTTTCTCCCACTCTCTCTCTCTTTCACACACACACACACACACACACACACACACACACACACACACACACACACACACACACACACACACACACACACACACACACAATTCAAAAGTACCAAATCAGGCCTGGCAGCTGCAGAGAGATTACATCATAAGTCAGCTGTGCCTGGTTTACCCACTCCACACTGGCAGCATTTAAAGTTAGAAAAAATGAAATGGCAGCACAATTGGTCAGCAGCTTCTCTTCTGGAGTTTTTCCAGGTTTTTGAAACAGACAGATAGACAGACAGACAGATGTACGAACATAAAGCTGCAATCACTCTTGCATTGATTTCAAAACAGTAAACTAGGTGGTTTCCTTGGAGAAAGAAGAGCCCAACCAGAAGACAGCATCTGGAAGGCCTCCAGACAGTGCCCTCAACAGCTCTGCAGGGCTTGCTCAGGGGTTCCACTGGCCACCAAGGGTGTTCTCCAGATGCTCAGCTTGAGGCAGCCAGGGGGCCTCAGGCTGTATTCAGCTCTGAGGTGTTCTGGCTAGGCGGCAGGTGGGAATCTGGGTTTTCCCTGCGCCTTTCCACATCTTGGAAGTATGGGTGAGACAAGGCACCGTAGGCAGATATTCTTTTGGCTGGATTAAATGTCAAGCACTTCTGTAATAAAGGAATAAAGAAAACCACAACTGATATAAAACATGTTAGTGTACCATGTGCTTACACAGTTACCCAACTATTTACTATCATGTGGCTATAATGAACATGATATTTATTTAAAGGCACACTAAATCATATTCATTTTGTACTCATCCCTAAGGTTTAAATAGCTCCTCAGAAAAAGGCTGAACAAGAGTGCCTGGTGAGAAGGTAAGTCAGGCCTGAAGCCTAGAAGGGTAGTGCAGCAAGCCATACCCACTGCCCAAGCGCTGTGTTCCTCCTCCCTCCTAGAAGGGAAGTTTCCTTCAAACCCTCAGGAAGGGGCCTTAGGGGGCGGGGCTAGCAGCAGCCCTCCAATGAGTCCCTCAGGTTCACTTCAAGTCACCAAAGTCTTGTTCCAGGCTGACAGCTCAGCTGTAGGGATGAATTACTATGGTGAAGGAAAGGGTTCTTGCACTTCAGGGAGTGCCTGGTTCTCTATCTGGCTAGGGCTACTGAAGTAGCAGGTAAAAGCAGGGAGAGACAAGTTTATGGAGCAGCAGCAGCAGCAACAGCAGCATCTCTGTGGTTCCAAGCTGTCAACCAGGTCCCTGATCTCAGTTCTACTTCAAATGCAACGCCTCATCTCCCCCTTGTATCCCTCCACCAACACCTCCTGCTGAGAGCTCAGCTGGAGAAAAGCACTCCTACTCAATGGACACTATTTCCTATTGCCCCTAGAACTCACAGGCAGCAGAAAAGCTATTCAAGCTGAGGTCCGTAGTAATTCAATATCCACTGAAGGGAGCATCTCTGGATTATCCAGGGCTCTTAATGAAGGACGTAAAGGTTATGCTCATTATCTACTGGGCTCTAATAGCAAGAACAGTAGGCATACTTTTCTGTACATGTTGTTCTAGTCCTTCAAATACAGTACAAATTATGTGCAAGGTATTATGAGTTTGCCCTCAGAGTACAATAGTTCTAGGTTTTGGGGTATTATTTTTTGTGCTGGCCCTGGGGCTTGAACTCAAGACTTGGGTGCTGTCTGTGAGCTTTTGTGCTCAAAGCTAGCACCCTACCACCTGAGGCACACACAGCCTCACTTGCAGCTTTTTTGGTAGTTAATTGGAGATAAGTTTCTCACAGGTTTTCCCACCTGGCCTGGTTTTGAGCTGTGATACTCACATTATAAGCTTCCCAGTGGTGGGCACCCAGCTAGATCTAATTTTGGATGAAATATTTTATATGTCCATGACATTAAATACTTATCAACATGATCAGTGACTAGTAAAAGTGCTGGTATTTGATTCCTTTTGGAAAAAAAATCTTATTATAAAGAAGCAACTATTTAACATTAAAATGACAAGCAAGTTTGAATCTTTAAAAAAGGAAACCTAATATTTATTTCTAAAGAAGCCTATGTCTAAGGAAATCCAGAGTCCTCTAAGGCTATATTCAAATATGTATTCAAAAAGGGTGCATTTACAGTGAGGATCAGAAAGACATTCCAGAAACAAAGGCTACCAGCTGGAAAGGAAGCCACAGAGGCTGTGGCATGTGATGCATGCAGTTAAGACTGAACTTGACATTTGTACCTATCCCCCCATCTGCAGAGGATCATCAGCCCAGTGAAGACTCTGCATTGAAAGAACTTACCAGAAGTAGGTCTTTGCCTAGTTCATCAATATCTGTTACAAACTTCTCAATGGGCTGGGCAGATTTGGAATGAAAAGCCTGTCTAGGAAGGGCAACATCTCTAGGCCAATCTTCTTCTCCTGGGAGTCCAATCACACTACATAAGAACAATATGTAAATGAGAATTAGTGCTACGTAATAAAGAAAGCAAAGTTGGAAGAGGGGGAAGGGATGGAGGGAGGACAGACAGGGAACCCCAGGACATTTTCACTGTGTAATCTGTCCTTCTGCAAAAGGTTGGGATTTGGATCAAAGATAATCTCCTAGTAGGTCTGTAAAATGCATTGTTAGGAGGTAAGAAATCAGTCTAGCAGCAGAAACTAAATATAAGAGAATAGGTAGAACAGGAATACAACACTACACCAAGGGAGAGCCCTAATGTACTAAAAAAGGAAAACCCACTGTACTGAAAGACTGGACTGGGCACATACATCTTCCTTAATGCTTTTTTGGGTTCTAACAGAACCCAAGGCCATATTTTCATGGTCTCATCCAGCATGGCTTATTAACACATCAGTTAAACACAGCAATTAAATACAAATTAAATGCACTAAAATATGACAAAAATAAAGACTAAAAGGCATGTTATTCTTTCCTATGCAAACTCTGAACTGTAAAGGAGATCTATGGTATTGCAAAGCAATAGTTAAAAGAGTAGTTAAGACTTACATTTCCCCTGAAAAGCATTCTGGGAGCAAAAATGTGGAGACAATAACAAGGAATAAAAAAAGTGCACAGACTTTGGGAATAGGCAGACCTAGGTTCAAATTCAGTACCCACTACATATTGGAAGGTAAGGACAAATTACTTAAGCATTGAGAAATTCTGATAGGTTCATTAAAAAGTGCTTACATCATAGTCCACTATTTAGACAGTTGAAAACAAGCCTTAAAAGTTGTCATTTAACTTGAAAGACTGACAGGAAACAAAATTTATAATGGCTATGATGGTAGGGACAGAAATAATCTTAAGTATCTCAGCAATGACACTAGGGTGCAGCATTGTCCCTCTTCTTGGGCAAGGAAATGCACTTACAGAGAAAAAAAAAACTTCAATGAAGTAATGCCAGAAATGAAGAACTGAAACTCAAAGGTACAAAACATGGAACTTTACAGCTTCTCCTCTGCGGACAACATAGGATTTCCAGGCCTCTGCCAAAATGGAATTGATTTTCTTGCAAGCCAGTCAAACATATTGGTCCTCTGCCCTGGCTCCTTGTACTAAGGGTGTTAACAATGCTCCAGGAATGCAGACTGTGCTGGAGGTGCACAGAAGTCCCGGGAGGGGTGATCAGGGGAAAGCGATGTTAGCTGTCAGTGCCTGGCAGGTGGGTTTCAATGAAGACCAACCTTCCTTTCCACAGAGGCATACTGGGAGCCTAACTCATTCTGCTCTCTTTAAGATCACGCGCACAGAAAATATATTCAAGGAGGAAAAATAAATGACATCTCAGCAGTGAATGATTAAAACAAAACAAAACTTGACATCCAGAAGCAGGAGTGACAGAAAGGCTTTATGAATAATTGTCCTATCTTCCAGAAGGCTCAGGAGAAGCAACAGTAGCAGCTGCTCTGGACCTGGAAGGCCCCCAGACTAAAGGAGAAACAAAACAAAACAGAAGTCACCAAACTAAAAAAGGTAAGGAGGGAGGGTGGGAAGGAGAGAGAGAGGAAAGGAAAGAAGGGAGGGAGGGTGGGAGGGAAAGAGAGAAGGCAGGCAGGCAGGCAAGCAGGAAGGAAAGAAGGAAGGAAGGAAGGAAGGAAGGAAGGAAGGAAGGAAAGAAGGAAGGAAGGAAGGAAGGAAGGAAGTCAGTGGAAGGGAGGGAGCAGGAACCCAAACAACAAAATGAAACAAAACCCAAAACAAAATTAGCAAATGTTCTTCAGGCCTTACCACCAGTGGGTTCAGACCCAGTGGAAGCACTAGCACTGACCACAGTTTACAGAGCTGCTTCTAGTCACCAAAAGAACAAAGTCAGGTTCCAGGGTTTATTCTGCTTTAAGCAGCCATGCTTGAATTGATAATGCTAACTTGAAATTCTGTTCCGTGGGGGCACTTCTTTGCTGTCTTGCAGACTTCACATTTCATAATAGGCATCACTCATTTTTAGTCAGAATTCCCACTTTCTTTCTACTCCACCTCAGTTCTCACGGGGCTTGACCAAAACACAAATACAGAAGGGATGCCATACCGCATGCTTTGTGAGAAGAAATGCAGCTACATTCTACAAACATGAAAGCATAGATAGCCTCACATGCAAAAACATGTCTGCATGAATGGAACTCTGCAAACCATCAAGAAGCTAGGTAACAACGAGGACCAAAGAATTTGAGCCCAAGGAAAGACTTTATGGAGAACTTAAGTAAGTTTCATTTCTCAGATCACACAGTTAAGGAACAAAGAGGTTAACTAATTCATGGTTAATTATAATAATAACCATAACAATTGTTAACATTTGAAAAACACCTGCTATGTGTAAGTATATGTAAGCTCTTTATAGGTATTTTACATGACTTTGTTGAGTTATTTAGCCACAGACCCAGAAAGAAAGTCCATGATTCCAATATCTTATTTTGGTGCAACAAAGAGAACTGGGACTGTATAGCATTCTCTCATTGGTCCAGGAACAAAATAATGTAAGTTATATCTATATATCAATATATGACTAACCTGGGTAACCAAGGATATCTGATGGGAGACAGGAACCCACTGGACAAGGATGGGTTGAGTTAGTAGACCAAATGCCCAACTTCAGACTGGGGGAGGGTGCATTTGAAATGACCATAAGCAGACAAACATCTGCATTAAAAGGCTGAAGCTGAGATAAGTAAAAGAAGAGCATCAGACGAAGGTTCAGGCAGGTAACATACTGCTTTCAGAGCACAGTAGAGTAGTCAAGCCACACATCATGATGCAGAGGACAGCCCTTCTCCCCTGCCCCACTCACCACACACACAGTAACAATGCTGCAGCAGCTTGGGTAGGAAAGACAAGAGATAGATATATTATAAGAAGATAAAGGGAAAGTCACTGGATGTTTCAGTGCTACGGCCAATGATATGAAAGTATTACTTACTCCAAGATTTTTCCCAGTTGATCCACATCTGAACTTCCACGAAAAAGAGGCCTAAAACAAAAAAGATACATTTTAAACAAGAAATTTTATGGTAATATCTCAATCTCATTTGTCATTATCATTGGTTAATAAGAATCAAAATAATTTTCTGTGGGTAGGAAAGAAGGAAGGAATTATGACATTTCTTTGCTGGTCATGAAGTCTGTCTCTCTGCCTTTCTCTCTCCTTTACAAGATTCTCTGAAGCTCTCCTTGGTGAGGACCTTCTCAGAGTACTGTTCAAAATGCTGATATCCAATACTTCTCCATGGACCTGTTCATTCTGAATCCTGCAGTAAGCTAATAAAACTCTTGAGCCTATTTTCTTAATTCTCCTTTCTTTTCTCTCACTTTATGGTTGCTCACCATTTCAAGTTGACAACCGTAACTGTGAATTTCAGAGGCTACCATGTCCTCTTCTGACCACACAGCCCCATTTGTCTACATTAAATGTTTAACTGGCAATTCAATAAGCTCCTTTTGTAATATTTCATAAGTAGACCAGGTAGATTTCGCCATAATCCTTATCCCTCATGCTTTATCTCAATTGGTAGACAGTTATAATTTGTCTGATTTTGTATATACCTATGGTATACAAATAAATACAGGTACTTTTCAACATCAATGTATCAAAAATATTTGTAGGGGTTGGGAAGGTGGCTCAGTGGTAGAGTGCTTGCCTTGCATGCATGAGGGTTCAATACTTCAGTACCACATAAGCAGAATAAGCTGGAAGTGGTGCTGTGGCTCAAGTGGTAGAGCATTAGCCTTGGGCTGAAGAGCTGAGGGACAGCGTCCAGGCCCAGAGTTCAGGCCCCACAACCAACAACAACAACAAAAATGTAGCTTATATTAAGAACATTTATCTCTCTCTCTCTTTTTTTTATATTAGCTATCGATTTATAAAGCCTTAAATCTGACCTCTTAATTTTTTTTTTTTTGGCCTGAACTCTGGGCCTGGGCACTGTCCCTCAGCTCTTCAGCTCAAGGCTAGTGCTCTACCACTTGAGCCACAGCGCCACTTCCGGCTTTTTCTGTTTATGTGATGTTGAGGAATTGAACCCAGGGCCTCATGCATGTGAGGTAAGCACTCTACCACTGAGCCACCTTCCCAGTCCCCCTCAAATATTTTTAATGACTTATTTAATCACTCATTTATATGTACACTGGAACTGAACCCAGGGCCTCATGCATGCTAGGCAAGCACACACTCTACCACTAAGCCACATTGCTAAATATTTTTAATAAACATAATTGTTATAGGTCAAATATGGAGCGTCCTGCAAGATTATAGATAAAATTTCATTTGTTAGAAGATTAAAAGCTCCTCACTCATTCTTTCTCTTCTTGTCATTATTCCAGAAAATGATTATTTCCATGCTGTGGAAAAATCAGGTACTTAAAGCAATAATATAGGTTGAGCTGTGTCCCCTTCAAATTCATATGCTGCATGAAGCCCAACCTCCAGTGTCCAAGAGGCTGAGATCTGAGGATCCAGGCTCCAAGTTAACCCAAGCAAACAAATCAGAGAGACTCTTTTTAGTTAACCAGCAAAAAATAAATGGGAAGTGGAGGTGTGGCTCAAGTGGCAAAGTGCCAGGCTTGAGCTGATGGAGGAAGCTAAAGGAAAGCAGGAGGCTCTGAGTTCAAGCCCCAGCACCAGCACACACTCAAAAGAAGAATCATGGAATTGGAATAGGAAAGACGTCTGTGCAGTTATTTTTTTGCTATGCTGGTGTTCATACCTCAGAGTCCTACAATTGCTTGGATAGGTAAGAGATACATACCACTGAGATACATACCCTGGAGAGATAGGCCATAAAACAGCAAAAATGAGAAGTGAAAGTCTTTCTTAAAACTCCAAAAATTAAAAAAAAATTTACTATCCCCAAGTAGTTGTATAAATGAGTTTTCATTCAAGAAATCAGGTTCATGAATAAATGAGTCTTGAACACCCCTTTCAGCATATCTACCCATCCCTCCCAGCTCTCTTCTTTCAACTTGGAGGATATACATGGAAGATTTCACTGCATTCTCCCCACCTTCTTCTCTTCATTCATCTACCCCTCTTCTTTTAATCCCATCCCACTTCTTTCAAGTTATCTGTTTCCTGGTGTTTATTTTGTTGAACTAAAATTTTGCCTTTCTTTTCTTTTTCTTTTCTGGTCCTGGGGCTTGAACTCAGGGCCTGGATGCTGTCCCTTACCTTAGGCTAGTGCTCTACCAGTTGAGCCACAGTGCCACTTCTTGCTTTTTTGAATCTCACAGGGGCTTTTCTGCCTGGGTTGGCTTCGAACCATGATCCTCAAATCTCAGCCTCCTGAGTAGCTGGGATTACAGGTATGAGCCACCTCCATCTCTAACCTTGCCTTTCTAATGAATTAGAATCTACTGTATTTCAGTTAATACATTAAAAAGGCAAAACAAAATTGTAATCTTTGAAAGCTATTTTTTATCCAGTGTGAATTTTCTATCTGGCATGGTATCATGTGGTTCCCCAAACATGAGCTCACTGAATTTTCCCAAAAATTCCAATAGAAATGTATTATTATTGTTGTTGTTATTTTCAGATGAAGAGAGGGAACTGGAGGTGTCATATGACTTAACTTACAGAAAACAAATTAGACTTAAAATTCGAACCAAATCTGCCTTGTCTCAAAATGTGTATACTTCATGATTATGATGTAATACTTTTATTTTGGAAACTAATTTTCTCTTAGCTCAAATCTCTGCAGCTTAAGCCTCTGGGGGAGAAACAGCATGGGACACTAGAGAAAAGCTGCAAATTTCACAAGCTAGTGCCTGTGGGATTAAGTACTCAGATTGATTTGCAAGTGTCTTTAAATTCTTGTTTGACTTTTAAAACAAGGAGTGAAGCAATCCACCAGATAAATGAATGCCCTATTTTTCCCAGTAACTTTATTGACTGATGGCTGCTATGATCTGAATGTTGATGTCCTTCCTAAATTCACAGAATGGGACTTAATAGCAAAGTCAATAGTACTAAGAGAAGGGACCTTTGGGAGCTCTGTCTTCACAAGTGGGATTTTGCCATGTCGGCATGCAGCAAGAAGCTGCCATTTTGGAAGAGAATCTTCACTAGACATCGAATCTGCTGGCATCTTCGTTTGCGACATCTCAGACTCTAGAATTGTGAGGAATTCATTTCTGTTGTTTATAAAGTATTACCCAGTCTAAGGCATTTTGTTACTAAAGACAATCAGATTGACAGTGGTTCATCTGGAGTTTTTTTAAACTCCTTCCTAGGGCTTTTTTTTTTTTTTTTTTTTTTTTTTTTAACAGTTGTTTGCCTTCTCTTAATACATACTTTAATTCTTTCCAAAGTATTGAACTTGCATTTCACACCAATAACAGGTCTCTTTCTTTCACACTAATCTATTTTCTTAATTTTGGAGACTGAATTACAAAATTACAAAAACTAAGCATAACTGGTATTATGAGGTTTAAGAACAAACATAATTGACTGCTCCTTGCTAGGTGATGATTGAGCACTGGTTGGCAGTGCCAGGTCAGTAAGTTTATACACAGAATGGAGCCCTAGTTAACTTGATGAAGTGATTAAGTGGCTATGTGAACATGACAACTCCATCCCCTATCATGAAGACACAGATGTGGGTGTGAAACCATCTTGGAGTATCCTGGCATGGCTTAGCATAAATTTGTTGGCCTTGGCTACTGGGAAACAAACAAAGCAGACTATCTTGAATGGATGTTTCTTCTAGGGAGGCAAAGACATAGACTCTCTCTTGTTCTGGGTGTGTCTTGTTCTGTTCATGTTGTTAGACACAACACAAGACTGAGGGACTTAAAAAAGACCAGAACTGGTATTCCTCATAGTTTTGCAGGATGGGAGGTCCAAGTGAGGGACTCCTTTCTGGTTCATAGAAGGCTGCCTTCTTGCTTCCTCACATGAAATGGCAAGAAGGACAAGAGACTTTTCTGATCCCTTTATAGAATGGGCACTTATCTAGTTTGTGAGGGTTCTACCTCAATTCCTAAGTCATCTCTTAAAGCCCCCATCTCCTGATACCTTTAGGATTAGGAGAAGCATAAATATTCAGTTTGTAGTAGTGGATACTGAAACCCTGCCAAAAGCTTAGCTACAGCTTTTTTACTGTTATGGTTTTCAACTCCCTTTTCACTTCTACCAAGCAGTATTCTGTCTTTCTTGCCCCTTTAACAAATGCTTGCCATATTTTACCTATTATTTGCTAGGTTTATTTTAGCAAAGGATTTTGGGATGATCTATCCTGCCACATACCCAAGACCCAAAGTCTTATCTCTGCTTAAATGACTAGATCTGGCCTACAAAATAAAATGTGCTTGTGACGTTAGATCTGACCCATCCATGTGACTCTCCTTTAGGGTCTGAATCATAACCACCATTTTGTGAACACTCAATAAAACTTGCTACGGGGAGGACCAGAATCTCTGGGGCAGCATTTGATGTCGATGTCGGAATGACTTTCGGCACCTGAGGGAATGGAAACCTGGTGTGACTGAGCTCTATTACTTGGCTTTGCAGCAGATGTGGGTTGGTTATGTTACACAAAACCACTGAGTCCTGATTGCTTGCACCCAGATCCTATTAAAACGGATCTTTGGACACTAATAGACAATGGAAATGTTTCACATGAAAGAGGGGGGATGGTTAAAGACATAGATATGCGATCAAACTTCTAGAATAATCTGTTCACAGTTTTGGGCTGAAAATTCTCATAGTTCATATGAGCTAGTTTTATGATACAGGATGTTATCTATGTACATCAAGAGCAGGAGAGGATGAAATCTTAATATGCCATGGTAGAATATGAAGATGTAAGAATAATACAGAGTCCTTCCAAGATATATTCTGTCTTTAATTGTAGAATGATTAAGCTAACACACAGACACAGACACACACGCACATCCCACACACCACACAGAGCTAGATTTGGCTAGGTTTTCATTACCAGGACATAGAGTTGAGCTGGAAGGAAGCAGAGAAAGCTT